AAATAAATATCCTGAAGAAATTTATATAAGTATACCATGTTATTTACATCAGCTCTCTCTGACATGTGATATATTTACAGATCAAAATAAATGTGTGTTATTATAAGTAAAACTTACATATATAAGCTTGCTTACTGTCAGCTTTCCACTTTATTTCCCTTATGTCCCTTTGTAATGGTAGTTACTTGGTCCTTGTTTGTTTTTTTATAATTTTTAATGTTTATGGAAGTTCTACTGCTTTTCCTACTCTTTATCCTATGTAAAGTTACCTAAGGAATCATTGCAGTAATATCTATAATAGATTTAATTATAGAGTTGCCAGTTGTTAGGTACTTTCTGTGCTAGATATTACCCTAAGTGCTTTATCTGTTTTTAATCTCATCCTCAAAACACAATTTTTTTTATGGTGCAACACAATGATTATTCTAACTTTATATATGAAGAAATGGAAAACTTAGTACGATTAAGTAATTTGAACTTGGGTCATGTAAAGGGAGTGACAAGATGGGACCATATCTGACCTCTTGAGCCATTGTGTTTTTGTTTCACTAAGCATTAAAAATTGGAAGCTCCTTTAACCTTCTTATAATCCAAATGAAAACTAAAGTATTATCTACCCCTTATCATTGGATATTGAGTTATCATATTAACTATATATGATCTAAATTTTTTCTAAATATTGTTTCCTTGATTGCTGTTAACTAATAAATTATAGCTTTGAACTGGATTTATTATTTTCCAGGATAATTACCATAAATAAATTCAATTTTAGAGGAATAATGGTGTTCCTAGCTATATGTCTTTTAGCCAAAACTTTTAACATGTCATTCTTTGTATAAGAAAATGAGATTTTTTACCCATTACATTAGCAAGAAAGAAGAATAATTTTTCTAAAGTAACTGTGATGCATTTGTACTAATCTACTCAAATGAGGCATACATTTATGAGGTCCCTATTATAGGGCAGACAGGAAATAAGATCTTAGATCTCAGTCATGTGAATTCTTTAACTGTTTATATCTAAGCATGTTCTCAGTTATATACTTGTCTACTTATGGTGAATACAAAAATAATAGACTGTCATGATATGCTGCCATAATATTATGATTTTATTGGGGTAAAAAGATACATGAAATAGTTATACATTATACTACTTTGAATAGTTCAATGGCTCACAAAAATATACCCCTATAAAACTTCAGGAATAACTAAGATTAGACTCCAGTAGTTAGGGAAGACATCTTAGAAGAGGTAAAATCTGAGATTGTCCCTAAGGGATGTGTAGAATTTAGATATGCAGAAAGGTGATTGAAGGTATTGAGGGTACCTAGAAATAGTATGAACAAAAGTAAAAAGACAGGATTGAGAATGGTGTGCAGAGGAAATAGGTAAGGAAATTGAACTTAGAGGAATGAAGACATTGTATTGTAAGTTGTAATAGAGGAGATTAATTATATCGGGGTAGAGTTGAAGATGGCTTTGAAATTCAAGCCAGTTTGTTAAACTTTTTCTGTGAGCATTGAAGG